ACATGAGGAAATACCTGATTGATTATGTACACGCCGAACAACGTAGCAATACCCTCGTTCAGCCACATGTAAGACCACCATGACGGACTAACCGCAGTACCAAACACTTGACCTACAACTTTACGTCCTACTATACGTGATAACTCAATTTTGCGTGCGATAGGATCTATTTCTTCATTGTAAATAATATCTTCTTCTCTGTAAACAACGTAAAAACAATATTATTATATACATGTCACAAATATTCATCATGTAACATTTTTACTAATAACATTTTATTATATATAATATTTACAACGCTTTTCAACGCTTCTGTAACTGTTTTACTATGGAAATATAGAAATTAATTTTTTTAAATGCACATGTACTACCTGTAAAGTTCGAAATGCAATTTATCCACGCTATCATCTGTCAAACCTGCGATCGCATATTTATTTCTCATTAAAGATTTTTCTGGAACATATTGTCGCCATATAAATTCAACTTCGACTGTGACATTTTTAATTAATTTTAAAATTTGATTCCATTGCTCTTCGACCGATTTCCTTCTCCATAATTCAAGATTTTGTACAGGGGAAATATGAATATAATCATTTTCATCGAGTAGCAAAATTGCTATACGGTACGTAGGGATTTCAGGAGTTGTAACAAAACGTGTCATCGTCAATGTTGAGAGAAGAAAAGGTGTATTTGAAAAAACATTGTAATGTTCAGGATATTTTATAGCAATGGTAAATTTAGCTTTTATTCCCGGTTCGTCCCAACATGGAAAGAGACGTCGCATTCCTGTCACTGAGTTACTTGTTGCGATAAGCCATCTAAAATATTTAATTAATTTTATTAGTGTATTATGAAATGAGATAATTTCTTATTTTTTCAATAGCATTGGAAATTAATACAGAAACTGAGGAGAGAGCAAATACATTTTAATGAAAACATTTTTTATATTTTATCAGTACAAGACAAGCCCTTTCCTCCTATTACTTTCTTACAGTTTATATACTTATTTTATTATGCACCTACATCTATAGATCATGAATAAATATTGAGAGATTCGAATTAAAAATTTTGTTTTATATATACGCGGACAATATTTATAAAGAACTTATTTAAGTTAACATTTCTTTAAGGAAGGAAATAATTTTATATCGTTTTATATCATTTTATACATTGTTATTTTCATAACTTTTCATAGAATGTTTACATTCGCTAATTACATATTTTGTAATAAAATCCAAGTTCCTTCCAAAACTATAAATAATAAGTATTATAACATTATTTTTATATTTACATATTTAAGAAATTTCATTCTACAACGTAAATTATCATTATGAATCATTAATTTGCAATAGTCAATCAACTTTTTTTAACTTTTGATATATAACAATTGTGACGTAATCAGTATGTTTGCACAAATTTGCTTTAGATTACGCGTGAGTATTAATTTTTAATAATTAAGGGACATAAATAATAGAATAATAGAAATTTTCTTTATTATTACATAATATTTTTAATATAATATGTATATTTTTTTACTCACTGTTTATGTCCTGTCGCATTTATATATGGCATCTTGATAAATCCTCCATCATTATCAATGACACCTTTATACCTCATGATCAAATTATATTTACCAGGATGTAGGGCGACAAGAAAATTCAAGACGACAATTTGCAGTTTGTGTATATACTTAATATTACGTCTTCCATACAGATTTATTACTCCATCAAAAATATCAGTTAACATGCAACTAGTTATTTTTAAATTTGCTGAATGCAGCATTATATATTGTGTAGGTTTATAAATCATAATGGTAATATTACTTATTCCAGAGAAGATATCCTCTTCTGTATTTAATATTAAAGTAATTTTGTATTCTTTTGGTATTATAAAATCAGGCAAACGCAAGTTGACAGGTGTAACATGTACTATTGTAGACACTATGTAAGCGTGTGTATCGTCGGATATAACTTTCGTATTGATTTCTGTTATTTCTGATTTCCTAGTTCTCGTTGTTTTTGATCTGTCTGTTCGCTTGTTACTTATTTTGTGTTTGTCAAACACATTTTCTTTATGTTGGTAAAGAGCCGTAACGTAATTTAATATTAAACTTCCATACAGTAATAATTTTATTAATTCGACAATATTCATCTAAACGAATAACAAATTTTTCATTTGCAGTAATGTATTTTTTATAAAAAATAGAAATATGACGTAAAATTATTGAAATATAATATATTGAAATTATATTAAATTATATTGAAATTTGACTTTTGCAAAAACAATAAAAGTGTAGTTATAGACTGTCTTATTGATAAGTTTATAATCACAACATTACGAAAGTACAAAAATAACTGGAAAAGTCTGTCCTCGAAAGCAGGCTCTTAAGTTCCAAAAATCATATATTTGTATAAGTTAAATTCAAGTAATTAAATTATCAACCACGTGTCGTTATTTTTAGCGGAATTGCAACGTATTGATTCTCAAATTCAGTATGCAAATTATTGATCGAATAAAAGTTCCTTTCATTATCTACTACATCGAGAAAGAAATAGAATCGTTTACTAGTTATGAGAACATATAATTTCGTTATTATATTAAATATTACATCACCACATCCATAATGAAGTGAAATGATACTTCTTACCTTAAGAAAGACATGTAACGTTAATGATAATTTGAAAAGAAGAATTGTATGTAAATTGCGTTTTGAAATATTTCTACATATTAAAAAAATTATATTTATATAACAAAACGTATATAGATATTGTTCTAATTATTCAATTTACGTATTGAAATTGTGTAGGCTAATAGATATTTAAAATAGTCTATAATAATTTGCTCAAATTATATTTACCGTTATAAGTGATAGAAAATGATGTATTCTCTGAATCACGATCTCTGCTTCGACAGAGACTTTCGTTACAAAGTAATGACCGTGCCAACAAACATCGATGCGTATAAAAGACATCATAATAAGTAGTGGGAGGTATAAATATAACATATTATTTAAAACTAAACTCAGATCATAATTATTTTTTGCAGTTATGTATTTAAATATGTATTAAAATTGATTTTAATAATACAAATTAAGCAACAAATAAAACATGAATATTGAAATATTTTCCTTAAAATGTACTAATATAAAAAATAAAGAAAAATGCAATTAAATGTAGAAACTTTTGAAATGTCTTCTTACACAAGTATGTTATGAATAAATTAATTGTAACTATTAATGTTTATTATGAATCGATTAAAAGTACGCATTAAGTAAACATTGCGTTTATTAGATGTATTTCCTATTAAATATGTAATGGATGTTCAATATGTTTTATATTTAATTGCATGTCAATTATAATATTGTTTATTGGTTACAAATGCTTCTATATCTATGTATATATATATATATATATATATATATATATATATATCAGATGTAAATTAACTTTAAATTTATAGACAATATCTAAATATTCTTCAATTCAAAATCTTTAATGTTGTTAAGAATATTGTATAATTTTAGAATATTGTATAATTGTATAATTCAAAATTTATTTGTATAATCTTAAAATTTTACGTCATTTAAAGCAAATAAGTGTTGATACATATTTCTGTTTATTTTTGCAGAAGTTTAATGAAATATTTTTAATATTTTGTCCAATAGGTACTGAAATGTTTCTAAAATATATAATCAAATGCTATTGATAAATGCTTATGTCAAATTTATTTAAAATTATTAAAAATGGAAATCATCTTTACAATAGATACACAATAAATAATTATTTAAATTAACATTATATATAAAAATTATTTAAGGAAAGTCCAGGTTTAATCATTTTGTTAAATGTATTCATAGAATTTCAAATATTAAGGATTACAATGCCATTTATAATTTGAAGTTCTGAACTAATTATCAATATTCA